GTTAAACTCAGTGTTTTAGGCATCTGGAGGCTCAGTCTAGTTCTGGGAAATATTCTTATGTTGAATAAATTAATCTAGACAAATTTTTTTCTGCTCCTACATAGGAGTTGTGCATTAATGTACTATCACATTAATAAATGTACTCATATGATAAATAATTTATAATCATACATAATCTTAACAAAGCTTCTAATTTTCTTAGTTTTTCCCTTCTCTATAAGTGGAGACACCTTCTTTGTCTTGTATTCTAATTTCTAGATGATTTCCTACACTTCACCTTCCAAACTTTCTATTGCATTTTAATTTTGGCTGTCCTATTTTTTATTTTTCTGTTTCCTGAGTGTCCTTTTATATTTTTAAAGAGTATCCAGTACTTGTTTCATGGATGCAAAACCTTCCCTTATTACTTTGACTATGTTCTCTAATTTCCTTTTCTCTGTTTTGGTTTCTGTATTTTATGTCTAATGAACTTTTGCTGTCTATATTTAAGAGGGAGTCATGAAAAAAATTATTGAGTGGGGCTTATTGACTAGCAGGCTTCATTGTAGGGTGATCCATTTGGCTTCAGTCGTTGTAGGTTTGCCATTTGGTTGGGAGACCCTGAATGACAGTATCTTTTCTCTTGGACTATTCAATTTTTGCAGATAGGTATCAGGTTTCTGCCTGGGGTTATTCAGTTGGCTATAGTGTTCTGGGAACAGGTAGGCAAAGGAGGCAGCAAAATGATACCATTCAATATATAGATTTTCACTTAATCTCTCCATTTTCAGCTGTGTACCTCACTCCCTCCTTCTATAATCCCTGGTGCCCCAAGTCTGGAAACTCTCTGATTCAATTTCTCAAGAGATTTAACCTCCTGTCAGAGTTGGGTCTGGGTTAGTTTTAGCTGCTTAGGGTGAGGAAGGGTACTGTGGGTCCTTATATTGCCCTCATCCATTCCCCCAGTTTTCATCCTAAAGCCCCATTTTTACCTTCCATGGTAACTCTTGCTTCTGAATCCTGAGGCTTTCCTGGGCTCTTCAGGAGAAACAGGCTTGTTCCTTATAATTCATCTTTGCAGGCATGTACCAGTTCTCCATTCACTTTCCTCCTTCCAATGAATCGACTCTTCCAAATACATTGATATCGTTCATCTACTAGTTGGTTATGTTCTCATTTTCTTTGTCATTGTGAGTTTATACCTTTAAAAATTAAAAAACATTTTCTGCCCTGTTGGTAGAGTTCAGAGCAGAGGTAAATACACATACTTAGTCCACTATGCTTAATTGGAAGTCCTAGCCCATCATTTTATTGAATTAAGTTTCACAAAAGACAAATTTTTGCAATTGACTGCTGCAATCAACTTTTTTTGGTAGCAAGTCTGAATATTTAGGATAAAAAGTTTAGTTTTTAAATTTTATTTCCCAGTTAAAAAAAAATGTATTAGCCCAGCATAGTAAATTTAGAATCTTTGGATTTATTCCCTTGGATTTACTTATGACAATATGTTTGAAATGTGTTAAGTTGAAAAATTGGCAGGATCAGACTGTACGTGTGTATTTGCAAGTGTGACAGCAAGAGAAACTGATAGAATAAAAGATTGAATCCAAGCGAAAGCAGAGTGTTAGATTTTGGTGGTACGGGGAGGGGGGTTTCAGGTCAAAGTCATATCAACATTTTCAATATGATCAATAATGTTTTAATGAGTACCTAAGGGTGATTTTTTTTTTTTTTTACTGTCTAATCTCACAGACCATTAATGCTCTATCAGTGTCTTAAAAATACTGCCCCAATTGCACTAAGGGTCCCTTTGAATGAATGCATTTCTGGCTCTTGGGGCCAGGCTATCTACAGCTCTCATTACCTTAGCTGCTTTCAGAAGCCTCCTATGAGGCAAATGATGAATAATAACCAGAGTAGAGATCATTCTTCAGTCAAGCAACTGAGAAGGGGCTCCTTTGGTTCATTAGCCCAAATAGGATCTTTTACTTTGTGAATGGCAATCAACAGAGCAGTGGATCTATCATTTTTCTAGCTCTTAAAAAAAAAAAAAAAAAAATTTGCATTTCCTTCAATTTGGCAACGTGAAGTCTTAGATTTTTGCCTTTTATAGTACCATTGCTAGATGGTATGAATGGAAATGAAACACACTCACCCAAATATCTAAAGGTCCTGATATAAGGCTAATTGTTGAGAAAATATACTTATCTTTCCCCCTGGAGCAATTTTAATAGATAATTCCAATCTTAACAGTTTCATCCTACTTCAGTAAAACTGACTTTTTCCCTACTACCTCTTTGGAGTAAATTTTCACCTTTCTGCTGGATTTATGACTGCTATTACCAATACTATGAATTATTGTAGTGTCGTGTAGCACAGCTAGGATGCTGACTCTCCTTCTTTGGAAAAAAGATAACATCATGTTGGACTTTTACAATTTCTTGGTCAAAGAAAATACTGAAACATCAGTCAAGAGTCTGGGCAAGCTTTATCACTATTTTGTGTAACCATTGTAAGTCATTTAAGTTTTCTGGGTCTACATTTGTAAAATATGTGCCACTCAGCTGTACAAGGAACTCCCAATCTAGTAAGCCTAATAAAAGATAAGCTTATCCAGGGGGAGAAATCATGTTTTATTCATCTTTGTTTTCTCCTGCTTAAATTCATAATAGTTACTCAGTAAATGCTGACAGAAAAACAGGATATAGGGCAAGTGCAAATCCTGTGAGATCCTTATGAGAATAATTTTATATAAATTTAATATATTCAGCTTGATTCTAAAGGCAACGTTGAGAAGAGGCCTGTGGGGCTGCATGTTCTTCAGTGTAACATAAAGTACTGAGCTGATTATAGTGGTTAGAAGATTAAAAGATATATATTTTTAATGGGCAAACCCTTTGCTTAAATATAGCCTACCGTCAGTAATGTGGCTGAGCAGTGATCTCTCTTGTTAAAGTGGCTCCCGTGTATCGAGTTACATTCACACTCAGTGATGGTTTTAAGAGCTTGGCCACCTTCCACATGTCTGAAAGCAACTCTACATTATATGTGAGAAAGATGTGGCTGACTTTAAACTTTGGTTGGCATGAGAAGAATGGAGAAGGCAACAGGGCTTGTTCATGCATGGTTAATACGAGAAAGAGTTCCGGATTTTACAGTCATGGAAATTAAAAGGTGTGATCCAGAACAATTTCCTCCTTTTAATTATTTTTCCAAAATGTTCTCCTCTCCTTCTCCCCCATCCCAAGCAGTCTCTAAGGGGCATACTGATATCGAAAAGATGTGAAAAGAAGGAGCTGTCCTTTTTAGGTTTGAGACTGACATTTCTGGTACTGATATTTTGGGGGAATTGTGATTTGTTTGTTCCATAAATGAAAATCATGATTTTCCTTTTTCTTTTTTACTTCCGAAGGAGCCACCTCTTTCTGGACCTTTTTTTCCTCCTTAAGTCATCGCCGAGGTGTTTGCAAGCCAAGCCAACACTTACATTTTTTTCACCAAACTAGAACAAAGCCAATAGAAACAGCCTAGTAAGTAGTGAAAAAGCACAGACTTGTGTTTAACGCTCGGTTCATTGCTTTCTTCTAACCTGTCTGACAAATCTTTCAACCTTTTTGAGTCTTTCTGTCTTCATCTGCAAAATGGGGTTAATGGAGGATTTCATCTGCAAAGTGGGGATAACATTAAAAGAGATGACATGGGTACATTATGCCCCAAATATACATGAGTTGAATCTTAATAATAATGTTATGACTGTGTGGTTACAACAAAAACTTTTTCTCCTTTTGCTGTCAGAAATGCTTTTGGTAGATTTCAAATTCTTTTTCATACTGCCTGCTCTTCTTTGGTGGGGATCCAATAATATTGCTGTGACTCGAGTGTACGAGGCTGCAATTTGTGTTCGGCTTCCTTTCTCAAGGGTTCAAACAGCCTGTTTAGTGAAGGCACAAAAGTACAAAGCAAAAATTTCAGCATATGCCATCAAATCTTGGAAAGTCATCTAAAGGAGGAAAGCTTGCTACCGAGGAAGGAAAAACGGCTCTTTTCTGGGCATCATTTCTGCTCTTCTGAAAAAAGCCCCGATGTTGCAGTATTTTTCAAGGCAGAATATTGTCCCAGATGGAGGAGGAAACACTGACAAGCAGAAAAGGAGATACCTGGGGTTCCGAGGCAGCGTCTGAGAGGGGCGGCGCGCCCGGGGCTCAGAACCTCGCAGCTCTTTGTTGGGGGCGGGGAGTCACTATTTCCGCGCAAGAAATGGCTCCCCCTGGGAGCGGCCCCTCTGCGGAACCGGCTCCAGAACCCCGCAGGCCCTAGCCCCCGCCCCTCTCCATTCTTGCGGACCCCACAAAGTGGTCGGAGTGCGGTGCCTTTAAGACTTTTGCCTGCTGCACATGCTCAGCTCTTTGTGTGTTGTTGGAGTTTTTCTCTTTTCAGAAAAAAAGAAATAGGCTGGAGGATGGGACGGAGGAAGCGGGGAGCGCTGGGGGAAAAGTGCTGCACTTTTGCAGCTGTAGACAGCGGACGGGAAGGGCTTATTTTCTGCTGAAGCTGCGAAGCCGGTCCCGATCTGATCTTTCGTCTGGGGGTGCTCAGGAGGCGCGCGGTGCGAGCGGGGCCGACTTCCCAGGCACGCCGAGGGGAAGGGCACGGCGGGCCCGCGCGCCACACCTGGCGGGCCGCTCTCCCCTCAGCCGGCGGGCCGTGTTGTGCGGCCGCGCGGCGGAGTCCCTGGTCCCGGTAGGGGCGGGGCGAGACCACGCGCAGGGCCTGTGTGGGGAGGAGCGGAGACACGCGCGAGTGGGGGAGGCGGCCCAGGACCCCGCGGGCTCTAAAGGCAGCACCGGCATCTGGCTAACGTTACCGGAGAGAAAATGGCTTCTGGGGGGCCGCCGGGGGCCGGCCGGGGCGGGCGAGGCTGAACCCCGCTTCCCTAGTCCCCCCTCCCGCGTTGGGCGCGCCCACCTCGGGGCTCCCGTGGCCCCCGCCCTCCCGGGCGCGCCGGGCTGGGAGCTGAGGAGGTTGGCGCGAGCCGTGGGCGAGGCGGGGCTGCGCGCTGGGTCCCCCTCCCCCTCCCGCAGGTCCCCTTCGGAGCGCCCCGCGCAGCCTGCATCTCCTGCTCCCCGCCTCCGGCCCGGCCCGGGGCGCCGTGGCGGTGGGCTCGGCCTGCCGCGGACAAGGTCAGGAGACGGAGAGGCGATGCCCGAGTGCGACTGGAGGGAGCCGAGCGGAGGCGACAGCGGCTGGGATCTGTCCCTCCTGACCAGGGAGCGGGACTGGAGCAGGCGCCGGTGAGGAGGAGAAGCGGCGGCGGCAGCGGCGCGGTGTTCTCCTCTCCGGCCAGATTTCCCCTCCGAAGCATCCCTGTAGGCGCCCGAGAGCGCATCCCGGCCGGGCAGGGGCGCTGGGAAAGATGGAACCGGGGGGCCGGGCCCGCACTGGTCCCCCGCAGCCGGCGGCCCCGGGGCCGTGGAGAGCTCGGCCGGCGGGCGGCGGTGGCGGCGGCGCCTCCTTCTGGCTGCTGGACGGGAACAGCTGGCTGCTGTGCTATGGCTTCCTCTACCTGGCGCTCTACGCGCAGGTATCCCAGTCCAAGCTCTGCGAGAGGACCGGCTCCTGCTTCTCGGGCCGCTGTGTCAACTCCACCTGCCTCTGCGACCCGGGCTGGGTGGGGGACCAGTGCCAGCACTGCCAGGGCAGGTTCAAGTAAGTGCCTTCGCCGGACCCCGAACCTCAGCCCTGCCCCGCACCCGTCGCGGCCTCCCCCCTTCTCTCGGCCCCGGGTCCCCCGGCTGGGAGCGACCCGCAGCGCTGCGGGAGCGGGGCCCGCGCTGTCCCCCTCCAGCCCTCGCGCCTCGGGGACTTCGGGCCCTCCGTCTCGCACCGACCGCCGTGGATGCGAAGCCTTTCCCGATGGTCCACCTGTCCGCAGCGACTCTGGTCCCCTGATCTTCAAAATTTTCACACTCAGTTACGGTGCCAAACACCATTTTGTTAGGACACTATTTTTTAATCAAAAATTATGCGCGTAACTCGTGAAATACTTGCGCATTGTGAAGCATTCAAACAATACGGAAGTTTAAAGGTTAAAAGTTCTGGTCTACCAGTACCTCCCTTTTCCCCATCCTACTCCCCTCTCTAGAGGTAAGCACTGCTAACATGTTAGTGTATTTAGTAATAGTGATCATAAGTAGAATATATGATGGCCTTACTATGTGCCAAACACTGTTCTGAGCCCATTACATGGGTTATCTCGTTTGTTTCTCACGCCAACTCTGAGTTACTAGAATTACTATACCGGTTTTACAGAGGGAAATCGAGGCAATCCAAATCAGCCAGCCTAACTCTAGAACATTTACTTTAAGCCAATATACTGTGTTGAATTTGTGAGGACTGTCTTGAATTGAGAAATACAAGAGTGACTTTGGGTTAGATAAGAGGATGAAATACCTGGGCTTTTTAATGTGGAGATAAAAGATTTTTCTAACTGGTTCTTTGACTAGCTGTTGTGTGGGAGCATCACTTTCGTTTTTTTGAAGCTCAAGGCCCTAAGCAGCTTGATTTACAACAGTAAAGATACTTTCCCCCATTGGTTGATGTTTATTGTGTTGCTGTCTGACATGAAAAGAAATGGGTGAATGTGGGGGGAGCAGCAGATAAGACAGTTGAGGCCCATAGGGTGTCCATCTGACAACTTGCACGTAACAGTCACTAAGTACCTCAACTTCTTGGTTTTCTAGGTACTTCACATGAAGTTTGCTGGCTGGGTTAGTAGCTCTGAAATTGCACTATGTAGATTACTTGTTGTCAGGGTGATAGCAAAATCTAAGTGAACTGTCTCTTGGGCTCTAAGGCAAAGATAGGAATATGGTTCACCTGCTAATAATGTATTATAGGAAAATTTCCTGGGAGTTTTAAACAGCATATTTTCCTCTTTCTGAAAAAAAACTTGCCAGTTAAGAGAGTGCCCCTGAAAACTCATTGTAAAAATGTATTTTTAAAAATGGGACTTTTTAATTTAAGTAGATCTTACTGTTTAAATTAATCGACAGGAGATTTTTGGAAGTGAAATCTCAGAATGAAGTTTTATGAAATTCATCTGTAGCAATAAGTTAAAATGTTTCCTAGCTTCATAATTTCACAAATTAGCCATAGTACTGTAGTTTTATATTTAAAAAAATTTTGGTGGAGGTACTAATTAAAAGTTTAAAAAAGTGTTTCAAGGTCTGCAAAGATATCTTATCGAACTGTGCTTGTTAGCAGTCTTTATAAATTAAATGTTCTTAAACTTTTGCTTTGATCATAACAGCCAGCCTCTTTACCTAGCAAGAGAGGATTTTGAACATATGAACTGGTAGTCAACAACGAAAAAAGCCACATCCATTTTTTATATCCTTTGGTACATAAATAGGAAGATTGCCTGATTCATGTGTAAGTTAGGGACGTTGGCCTTTGGGTGGGTGGAATTGCTCCATTTCTCTAAAGAGGACAGAAATTGCTGCAGTCCTGAGAAGCTTCTGTCTACATTTTATAGTAGTGGAATTGCTAATCAGCCAGATCAGCAGCCTGTAACCTCACTAGCAGAGGTTGTCTCAGTTAGTAGGAAAGATCACAGATCAAATTAAAATCAGCTTAAATAATATAGAGAGATGGTTGGTGTTTGTGAAAGATACATTAGTGAGTAAAAGAGGACTAGTTTTTTTTTTTATATAGATATAGTTAAATAACAATAAACCCTGGACTAATCATTGAATATTCATTTCCTTGGAAGCTGTTTCCTATGATTCATTGTACCCTATTAGTAAGTACTTTTTCATTTCTCTGTGGAATACAAGCTATTAGTTAGAGTAAATATAACTGGTACAACTCTGTGTTTTGTTATGTATTCTCTTACCGTAAAGAAAAAAGTGGTATTTAATGTTAAACGGAAGAATCAATTTAGAAGAAGAGATTTCTTCCTGGTGAAGTACATGCTAAGCTAAGAAAGGTTTATTTGAGGATGGTGGCTTGTTTTATCCAGCATTTGAAGGAATAGCACAGTGGGAAAGACTTTAACTGGAAATTCTCACTTCATTAATTATCTTGAAAATCTTTTACTTAACTGAAGGATAGCCACCTAACAAACAGACATCAAAAATGATCAATCTTGGTAAGCAGGTGTCAAAATTAGTTGGCTGGTTCCATGGTAACATAGCTTTTTTCCAACTGTAGGGATTTCACTAGGGAATGAGTATCCTTCAAATGCTTCTTTAGAACAGAAGATTGATGGTTGGAGGGAGAAATGCAGAAGCAAATATGGTATCAAAAGTGGTACTTCAGTTCTCTTAGGATTGATTGCAGTCTTCTGTTTCCATTTGAAAAGAATAAAACTCTCAGAATTACAAGCCATTCCTCTCATAGGTAAAACAGAACGAACACTGATCATCAGCTAAAGCTGGACTAAAAGACTTAGGACTGAGAATCAGACAGGACAGTGCCAATTTGAAATATAATAATCAAGGATATGATATATGCAAATTTGAATTACATTTACTTGGGTAGCTTAGTATCACATTGGAGTAGAAAATGTTTTACTATAACCTATTTGAATGAATAACATTCTCTATTAGAAGCCAGTTCTTTAGAATTATTTTTGTAGAGCAGTTGAGATTTATGTTTATATAAATTAATAATTTGAGTTCAAACTCGGACATTTTCTTGCTTATGTGACTTAGAAACCTAAGACTTCTAATTTCTCTTAGGTAAACAAAATAGCTGATATTAACCTTCTGAGATTGGAAAATAACTCATTATATTGTGAATATTTTATAAATGTATATTTATTATTAAAACATATTTATTGACTATTTCTCTAAAATCATCTATTAAATCTTATTGTGTGTTTAATGTATATAGATATTTTTAAAATCTCTTAAGTCAGTCAAGTATGGATAATGAATTTCACAGATTTATAATGGAAGTAGTCTATTTCTATTTTGACAGCAAAGTGAAGATATAATATCAGGAGTGAGGTTGCTATTGTAAACAGAAAGTGGCAGGGTTAAATGTGTCAATATTTTCCCTAAGTTATTATTATTATTATTTTTTGCGGTACGTGGGCCTCTCACTGTTGTGGCCTCTCCCGTTGCGGAGCACAGGCTCTGGACGCGCAGGCTCAGCGGCCATGGCTCACGGGCCCAGCCGCTCCGCGGCATGTGGGATCTTCCCGGACCGGGGCACGAACCCGTGTCCCCTGCATTGGCATGCGAACTCTCAACCACTGCGCCACCAGGGAAGCCCCCATTCCCTAAGTTATTATTAAAAATAAAACAACCCCAACATATGTGTGTATACACACACACACACACACACGCACATATTTGGAATCCTTTTTAATAATAATAGGGAAGCTATCAGTAACTATAAAGTTAAATTGAATATTCCCTGTCCCCAGGTCTTCTTTATTTCAAACTAAGATTATAATATGTAATTTATATCCATGGGTTCTTTTTACATTATTAAACCATAAAATCACACAATAGATTTTAAAATAATTTAAATTGAGTGTTTCTAAGATCCTAAATTGATAAATTGCTTGTACTAGCATGGTTTTCAAGACCATGTGTCTACATAATTTGGTTCCTTTAGCAGATCAGACTCACCCTTCCTGTTTTCCTGCCTGGGTCTTTTAAAGTTCCTTGAAAGTGTCACATTCCTTTTGGACTCAGGGCATTTCACACATATGCATACATCTCTCTGAACCGTCTTTCCTATGTGGTCTTTGCTTGACTTATTACTAAGCATCTTTGAATTTTAGCTTATACTAGTGTCTAAAGGAAGCTTTTCTGACTCCTCAGACTATGTGACCCCTCGTTATGTACTCTTATAGCACTATTTTTACTTTATAGCATTTCATAATGAATTATTAAATTACAATTGTAATTTTTTCTTAAAAATTATTTTTAAGAGCTTTATTGGGGTATAATTGACATGCAATAAACTGTACAATTTAAAAAGTTTGGACATATATATGCACCTCTTAAACTATCACCACAATCAAGATCATAAAAGTATCAATCACACTCAAAAGTTTCATGTGCCCCTTTGTATTCCCTCCCTCTCCTTTCCGCTGCCTCTCTCTGTCCCCAGGCAACTAACTGAGCCGCTTTCCTTCAGTATAGATTTCTAACAAAATGACAAAACTCTTTTTCAGAGTAGTTGTATCTTTTACATTCCCACCAGCAGGGTATGAATGTTCCAGTTAATTTACACCCTCACCAACACTTGGTATGGTCAGTCTTAAATTTTACTGGTTCTAATAGGTGTGTAGTGGTATCTCATTGTGATTTTATTTTGCGTTTCCCTAATGACAAATGAGAGCATCTTATGTGCTTACTTGCCATCTGTAGATCTTCTTTGGTGAGGTATCTGTTCATATCTTTTGCACATTTTTAAAATTGTTTTTTCTTATTATTGATTTTTTTGAGTTCTTTATATATTCTGGATACTAGCTCCTTATCAGATATATCATTTTTTTCCTTTTATGGATTGTGCTTTAGGCACAATATCTAAGAAGCCTTTGCCTAAACCAAAGATTTTCTTTGATTATTTTTTTTCCTAGAAGTTTTGTAGTTTTAGATTTTACAATTAGGTTTATAGTCCATTTTGAGTTAATTCCACATCTAGTGAGAGGTATGGATCTCAATTTTTTTTTTTTGCATATAGAT